ATGTGAGCAGTGATAAAATGTGTTGAAGAGAGAATGAGGCCTGAATTGGGCTGTGAAGGATTTCAAGAGGCAGAAAGGTGTGGCCATACAGGAAAGAAGCAATAGGGAGAGATGGTATAATGTATATTCAGAGAAGAGAGGGTCACACTGGTTGACCAGAGCAGGTCTAACAAAATAATGGAAGATAAACCTGGAAAGGCAGATTGGGATTACAGCAAGTGGAACCTTGACTAGTGAGCTCAAGAGGTTGGACTTCCTCCTGTAGGCAATAAGGAATATTTCAAGAATTTCAAGACGAGGTTCGGCGCCTGTAGCTCAGCGGCTAGGGCACCAGCCACATACAACCAGAGCAGGCGGGTTCGAATCCAGCCCAGGCCTGCCAAACAACAATGACAACTGCAACCAAAAAATAGCTGGGCGTTATGGTGGGCACCCGCTTAAGCCCGAGAGTTTGAGGTTGCTGTGAGCTGTGACCCCACAGTACTCTACCAGAGACTCTGTCTTAAATAATAATAATAACTCCAAGACGGTGCCATTGCAGTGGTACTTGTAGAAAAGTAGCATATTGGAAGGCCAAGGGGTGGTGATTAGGAAGGAAGGAAGGGTGACAATGTAGGCTATAAAGGCATAAGAGAAAGCTATAGACGCAGAAGAGGAAAAAGAGAGAAAAATAAGATCATTCTAGAGAGAAAGAATTATCACCTTAAATAATTATCCTTTCTGGGATTCTCATTATGAATTTTCAGTATTGACCTCAAGTAAAAGATTTTATATTCTAGTGAAGCCATGTTATGTTGTTTACAAATATTGCTGAAAAATTAGTCTGTGTACAGTTCAGAATTTGATGCTATACAGAATAAAAAATAATCAAAAATTGTCTTCCAGGCTCAAGGAGTTTTGAGCCTTAATAGCAGGGGGAAAAGACTAACAGGTATCAATTAACCAGAAAAATGAAAAAGTTTATATAAAATGAAGTACAACATAATCTGCACTATAGATTTTCAGAAAGGAAATGTAATCACTCTGAGTTAAAGTATTAATGGACAGGGGAGATTTCACAGAAGATAAAGCAGTGGTACTTTATCCCTGGGTCACTGAGATTCTGACTCCCAAAGGAACACCTCGTTCGGTTCTCCCTGAGCATCTTCAGTTCCACACTGTTTCCTCTGCCAATCTCACACAATTCTATCTACCTCCTTCTTGCCCCTCCTTCCCTCAGCTGGACTCAATAACAGAAACTCCCAGAAAACAAGCACACTTTCTCTTCTAGCCCTACAACAAGCTGGAGTCTTTCTCCACAGGATCAACTTGACAAAGGAACTGGTAAAGACAGGAATCCCAGGACTGAGAATGGGTGGAAAAAGAAATGAGAGACGGGGAAAGGCCATGGTATATTTTGATTTGAGTTGTTTTCAAGTGGCTACCATGTCCCAGGTATTATGTGAGTCTGTAAAAGATATAGGAACAGTGAGGGATGTGTTGGATGAGAATTGTGAACCACCATGGAGGTTACAGACCCTACCAATGAGATTATAAACAAAGGGAAAATGTTCTAGCACTTTAAACATATCACTGTGCATAATTTTTACATTTTTTTTTCAGATTGAGAAACTGAGGCTTATTGAGGTAGAGTAATTTTTTTTTTTTTTAAGACAGAGTCTCATTATGTCCCTGGGTAGAGTGCTGTGGTATCACAGCTCACAGCAACCTCAACCCTTGGGCTTAAGCGATTCTCTTGCCTCGGCCTCCCAAGTAGCTGGGACTACAGGTGCCTGCCACAATGCCCAGCTATCTTTTGGTTGCAGTTGTCGTTGTTTGGCAGGCCCAGGCTGGATTTGAACCTGCCAGCTCTGGTGTATGAGGCTGGTGCTCTAGCTGCTGAGCTGCAGGCGCCGAGCCTGTAGAGTAAATTTTAAGTGGAGAAGAAGGGACTTGAACCTGGGTCTGCAGACTCCACAGCTAATTGTCTTTTCATCAAATTGTCATTCCATTAATAGATGTAGAAGTCTTAACTTACATGTAGGGGTCACTCACTGGCAATAAGTATCATAAGGAAAAGAGATGTTAATCTCATTTTTAACCTTCTCTTTCCATCTTTACTACAGAAGGAATTACACTAGATCTGAGATGGAGACCTTCTCTTTGTTACTACTTGGCCTGGGGTTGGTTCTTGCAGGAGTTTCAGAAAACATAATGGAGATAATTAAAGAAGAATTTACAGAGGAAGAGATGAAATGTGACATGCCAAGAAGTGGCAAAGAAAAAACCATCGTTGAGGTATTAATGAACTTGACCCTGGTAGATAAAAATACCAGCCTCAGCACATCCAAGGATGCTATATCTTCCTCATCAATGACATTTAGAAGGTTACATTATAGCATCCCCAAGGGAAACAGTTCAGGTGATGGCAAAGGGTGTTCCAATGACATGACAGTTTGGAGAAAAGTTTCAGAAGCTAATGGATCATGTGGGTCGAGCAATAACTTCATCCCTGGCTCTTTGGAAGTGATCCCTGGGGTCCACAAGGCCCCCAGCTGCAAGTTTGAACAGAATCCTGGCTTAAGCTGCTGTGGGAGTCCAAAACTGGAGAATACTATGTGCCAGCTCACTTCAGGCAAACAATTCCCCAGGTGCCCATACCACAGTGTTACTTCATTAAAGAAAATGTTGACTGTGCTGACAGGTCATTCTCTGATGAGCTGGCTAGTTAGTGGCTCTAAGTTGTAAACGAGATGAGGGTCTAAGTAAAGGAGGATATGTTCTTGCCCACTTGTGCTTCTTTCCTTCTATTATTCAGATCTACCTTTTAGCATTATGGCAAACTCTTGATTATTTATACTAACTGAAAGACCGAAAAATCCAAATTGTGAGTAATTCAATTAAAATTTATAACTGATCTTGGAGTACAGATTCATTCTGTCTCTCTTTTTCTGTCTCTTCCCCCCAGCCCCATGCTTCTTGGAGTCAAAGTGAATTTCATCCTAGCTTCACTATAAAGCCAGGAGGCTGAGTCCACTTAGCTGGGCAGAACTAAAGAAGGATGATCCCAAACCAGTATGAATAATTAAGAATTAATTGTACTGCCAATGAGACTATTCAGAAAAATAGTAAAAGAGTGCGGAAAATATTATCACTGCTTCCCTTCAAATAAGTGTCTGCATTAATGTGTGCGCATACGTGTGAGCTCTTAATCACACAAGCATAGATCGGCCTATCCTGACTTGTTGCCAGAGGAAAAAGATCTTTTGGCTGAGCAGATGTTCTCAGTATCCACAGCTCCAGCCCTATGCAGTCTCCCCTCTTCTACCCTGATCCCTATCTTACAGGTTGATGTAAAGAGGTGAAATATGGCTCTTTTTGCAATTTTTTTCTCAAGCAAAGTCTTGACAACTTGGGGCTATGGGAGACGAAAGGCAGGCCATGGAGAAAGAGAGGGGACAGAAAGATAGGAATAAGAAGTCTATGTCAAGTACCACGCAGGATTGGTCTTCAGCATGAATGTTTTCTGATATCTTAGTGAACATTTTCACTACAGTTATTTATTTGTAAGTCTTCATGGTTCAACATTCTGCATAAAGTATGAGCATTTATCTTGCTTATTGATTTCTGCCTATATTCTCCTATTTCCTCCTATTATATACTCCCTCCATCCCCAAACCACTCTTTCTTAACGTTCTAATTTTATTTTATTTTTTCATGGGTTTTTTTTTTTTTGAGACAGAGTCTCAAGCTGGTGCCCTGGGTAGAGTGCTGTGGCATCACAGCTCACAGCAACCTCCAACTCTTGGGCTTAAGCGATTCTCTTGCCTCAAGTAGCTAGAACTATAGTGCCAGCTATTTTTTTTGGTTGCAGCTATCATTGTTGTTTGGCAGGCCCGCACTGGATTGGAACCCACCAGCTCTGGTATATGTGGCTGGCACCGTAGCCACTGAGCTAAAGGCACTGAGCCACAGGCACTGAGCCTTAATGTTCTAATTTTAAATACATGCATATAAATGAATGTCACATCACTGTTACATTTTGTTGTATGTAACTTTTTTTTTTTTGTAACTCTTTATATGTTCATTTTCCCAGGGTTTATCATATTTGGTACAAATTTCTCATTATATTGGAACTGCAAAACTCTGACAGTCAACCAATATGCAGTTTTACAGTAACTTTTTTTGTACCTTTTAGCTGGGTTTTCCTTGTCAGTGTAGTGGTTGCTTAAATAAATAATCAAGTATTGCAACCAGAGAATAGAGTAATTGATAGAGGGAAATACCTGGGTCCCAAAAGTCTCTTCTCTATAGGAGGAGAACGAGAACCCAGGACCCAGAAAGAGGATGTGCTTACTGAGTTCCAACCTAGGGACAGTTTCATTTACTGAATCTGATGCTACCTACCACCCAGTCACCAAATGGAATGGCAGATTCTATCCATAGTAGAATAGTCTAAGCAGTCTCCTCTTGGTTCAAATTTAGTTCAGATTTCTTCTTTCCTATAGTAGGATTTCCAGCTCTGGCTGAGGGGCATATCAGCCCACAGCAACAATAAATACAGTAGAACCTCCCTAGTTGACCACCTCCTTAATTTGACCAAACATTCGCTACATGTACATATCAGTACAGTAGGCCTAGTTCCTTATGTTGACCACCTCTGTGTGTTGACCAGTTTATTACAATCCCTTGGGTGGCTTTTGTTGTTGTTGCAATTGCCAATGGAGTCTTCCTCATAAAAATCTTCCCACAGGCTGATATCAACAAAGAGTTTTTCCCATACTTTCTTCTTGGATTTTTATGGTTTTGTGTCTAAGTTTTAAATCTTTTATCCATTGTTAGTCAATTTTTGAAAGTAGTGAGAGGTTTGTGTCCAGTTTCAGTCATTTACATGTGGTTATCCAGTTCTCCCCGCACCATTTATTGAATAGGGATACTTTTCTCCAGTGTATGATTTTGTTGGCAATAAGATCAGAAGACAAATAAGAGGCAGGTTTAATCTCTAGGTTTTCTATTCTGTTCCATATATCTATGTCTCTATTTTTGTTCCATTACCATGTAGAATATTTTATTTTATTTTATTTTATTTTATTGAGACAGAGTCACACTATGTCACCCTTGGTAGAGTGCTGTGGCATCGCAACTCACAGCAACCTCGAACTCTTGGGCTTAAGCAATTCTCTTGCCTCAGCCTCCCAAGTAGCTGGGACTACAGGTACCCGCCACAATGCCCTGCTATTTTTTTTTTTTTATTGCAGTTGTCATTGTTTAGGTGGCCTGGGGCAGGTTCGAACCCACCACCCTCAGGGTACATGGCCAGCACCATAACCACTGTGCCATAATTAATTAGCAAGCACCTGCCCACATATAAAGTAAACCCAATCAGACTATCAGCAGACTTCTCATCAGAAACCTTACAGGCCAGATGAAAATGGGATGGTCTTTTTCAAAGAACCAAACTCCATTTGGTGAGTGGGTGGTAGCATCAGATTCAGTCCCTAGGTTGAAACTGTCCCTAGGTTGGAACTCAGTAAGCACATCCTCTTTCTGGGTCCTGGGTTCTTGTTCTCCTCCTACAGAGAAGAGACTTTTGGGACCCAGGTATTTCCCTCTATCAATTACTCTATTCTCTGGTTGCAATACTTGATTATTTATTTAAGCAACCACTACACTGACAAGGAAAACCCAGCTAAAAGGTACCAAAAAAAGTTACTGTAAAACTGCATATTGGTTGATTGCCAGAGTTTTGCAGTTCCAATATAATGAGAAATTTGTACCAAATATGATAAACCCTGGGCAAATGAACATATAAAAATATCTGTCAGCCAAGAATTTTATATCCTGCTAGAATGAGCTTTATAAATGAAGGAGAAACAAAGTTTTTCCAAAACAAGCAAACACTGAGACATTAATCACATCTAAACCAGCACTACAGGAAATGCTCAAACAGGTCTTAAAGGTTGAAATGAAAACACACTAAAATTAAAAATGTAAAGGTTGGATGGTGCCTGTGGCTCAAAGGAATAGGGCGCTGGCTCCATATACCGGAGGTGGCAGGTTCAAACACAGCCCCAGCCAAAAACTGCAAAAA